TCCTCCTAGGCCTCAGTTTCCCCATCTGACCACACATGGGTAACAACAATGCCCCTTCCCCAAGAAAGCACAAGGTGGGGGAGACACAGCCTCAGCCAGGCAGCAAAGGAGGTGGGCGGTGGGGATGGCACACACAGGCCCCTCCAGCGGCAGCTGTCTGCCTCCAGGCCCCGTCCCTCCCAACAGCTGCCGGACCTGGTGGTGCCTGCAGAGCCTCCTCCTCAACTACTGCGTCTTCAGCCCCCATATGGAGGCTGGGACTCGGCCTGCTAAGCCCTGGGACAGCCTTAGCTGTGACCCCGGCTGGATGAGAGCCCAGAGCAGTGGGCACGTCGGTGGTAGGTTCCCAGGATGCTGAAGGAAGGACAGGGCTGGGGCCGGGGCCACCCTCCCTGGAAACACGCACACGCGTGCATGCAGTGCACACGTGTGCACACCCACCCACTCAGGTTTCAGGAATCACCCTTGGGCAGCCCCGGTGGGGGAGGGGGGCCACTCTCAGTTCCTAGCCCCGGGGAACCCCTGCCAGGTCCCACACACACACAGGAAGGTGTGTCAACTCTGCGGTGAGCCAGCGTCACTTCTCGAAGAGGAATTTGGCTTATCAGCCTTGCCAAGTGAAACTGGGGAGGGGCCCGGGGCCAGCACAACCTACCCCTGCTCCCTTCTGGGGGCGCATAGAGTTCCCGAAGGAACCGTGAGGCCCTGAGCCCCCAGGCAGCGCTGGAGGGAGGAATGGAGATGGGCCCCAGGCGACTGGAGCTGAACAGGGTAGCCCCAGATGTCCACCTGGTCTCACCACTTCCCGTAGGCTAAAGCTCCTTTCATAGAAACGGGCTCAGGGGCCAGTCAGGAACCCCCCAGACCAGCTTAGACTCACCACGTGGGAGGGCAGAGCTCGGCGGACTCGGGGTCCTGGCAGACGCCGCGGCAGCACCACCTCATACCGCTCCACGCAGGCCCAGGGCCGGCTGGGGACGATCGCTGCGGGAGGGAGTGTCAGCAGCAAGCGGGTGGGGGGGAAAGGGGTTTCCTTCCCAGAGTCCTGGGCCCTCAGATTCTGCCCCTTCCTGGTCTTGACCCTCCCCTGGGGAAATTGCCAGATAGCTCAGAAACAAAGACTCAAGTGGGGGTTCTGTGCCTAAAAGACCCCAGGAGTCCCCCAGGCAGGGCCGGTGGGCCTGTGTCCTGCAGCACCCACACACGGTGCTCGGAGACCCTGCGGGTGCCAGCGACTCCACAGGCCTCCAGGCTGTCTCAGATGGGAGGAGGCCCCCGGCAGCCGACCGTTTCCATCTCCTCCTCCACTCATCTGATCATCTGGTTGTCCCTAACTGGGGAGCAGGAAGGGCCTCCCGGAGGCTGTTCACCTCCCAAGTACTGGAAACTCTCTGGTTTCCAAGAGCAGAGGGCAGGGACCCAGCATGCAATGGGCAGAGTTTCGGAGACCACCAACCCCAGGACCCTTTTCTCCCGTTAAAAACAATAATGGACGTGTCTCCATGACGGCATTCTAACCTGGAGAGGCAGCAGGGGAGGGAGCAGCCGGCCCCATCTGCCCAGGAAACTGGCGGAAAAGCATCCCGGCCTCCAGCCTGAAGCTCCCTCACACACCCCAGCCCAAGTCACTCCAGAAGCAGGGGCGGAATCCAGGGTCAGCAGCCCCGGGTCCTCCCCCAGGCAGGACACGGGTCCCCTCAGGCCCACACCCTTGCCCTCCAGGCCCCAGCTCCTCTGCCCTCCCTTCCCTCCCTGGCCAAATAGTGGGGGTGAGCAGCCCCACAGGCGAATCCCAGGAACCCAGGGCGCCTCCCGCAGCAGGTGAAGCCGTCCTGCCTGGCCTGGCCCCGACCCCACTAACAAGCTCAGAGGCGGGGCTTCCCTCTCACAGTTCACCTTTGAAGGTTCTCTCCGACCTCCCCGGCCTCCCCGGCCTCCCCGGCCCAGG